CGCCACCCCCCCGGACTTCCTCGGAAGTAGCGGGGGAAGCCGGGCGGTCCGGGCCGAGGGCTCTCGGTGCTGAGTGCCTTGCCCCGAACACCCCCGACCCAGCACCGCGCGCGGACCTGCCCCAGCCGCCGCACCGAGACCGCCGGCCACATGTCGCCACGTCCTGACCTGTGTTTAAAAGCCCTACTCGGACAAGGTGGCGTAGCAGCTACGTCGCTGGACTCCCACGTGGCCGACCTGGGGCGGGGGCGGCTGGAAACACGCCGCCGTGTGCGTTTGCGTGCGTGCCCGAGGCCCCGAGAGCAGCACGGAGGAGAAGGGGTTGCGGTGCGGCAACCCCCGGGGGTGATTTCTGACCCTCCCTCTTACTGTATGAGATACTTGCGATAGTGCGCCTGCGCTTGCCGGAGACAGAGACACAAAGCTGCAATTCCTCCGCATTCTCTGGGATCTTGGGCACTCACGCGCGGACCCCGTAAGTTTCAACCTGCCGGGTGCGGGCCTTAGACTGGAGTTGAACCAGAGTCCAGTGACTTAACCGCTACCAAAAGCTGGGCCCCTCGTAGTCTCTGTGCAGCAAGGCTTGCGCCGTATGAACAAAAAGAAAAAAAAAAACGCCCTACTCCGGCCAGCAGGTGGCATGGTGGTTAAGACAGCCGGATCCAACACGGTCGAGTCCGCAGTTCAAGTTCCAGAACTGCAACTTGAACACACCAGCGTGTGTGCACGCGTGCCCAACACCCCAAGAAGAGAATGGAGGAGAAGGGATTGCAGGGTGGCCATCCCCTGTGATTTCTCATTTTCCCTCTGTCTCTCTCCAGCCAGCCCTGGTGCCCTGTAGAAAACTTTTTTTTTTTTTTAATTATTTATTGGGAACCCAGCAGTTAGTGTTATGGCTATGTCGTTGGACTCTCACGTAGTGGACCGCGGTTCGCATCCTGGACCTGGTGGCTTAAACTCACGCCGGGCACGTTTGCATACGTGCCCAAGGTCCCGAGAGGAGAATGGAGGAGTGTGGGAAGCTGCACACCAGCGAGTTGGCCGAGGTTTCTCAGAGAGCAAACAATTACCATGATTGGTTCCCTTCTAAAAACCTGACCTTCGAAACCTTGCTCTGATTGGCCACTAGAATCCCTCAAATTTGCATATCCGGCACCTCATGATTGGTCCAAAAGCAACCAATCATAACCCACGATTAACAACCAATCACGACCCACCGTTTACAACCCACCAGAGTGTATATAACCACGATGCCTGGCCCACAGTAGCCAGACGACACAGATGACTGAGACGTCGACAACGACCAGGAAGACGACAACTGAAGAGCCTGAAGAGCTGAAACACCGCGCAGTCTCCAGACGACCCTGAAGATTCTGAAGAGCTGACACTGCATCGTCTCCAGACAAACTGGGAGACCCTGAAGAGCTGTAACACTACATCATCTCCGGACGACCCTGAAGAGCTGTGA